AAATTTTGGTCAACACACCCGATCTCGTCTGACCGGATCCGACACAGATCCCACACCCTTACTCGTGTCAGTGTCGTGTCGACACGGGTACGGCGCCCAAATTGCCGAGTCTGAGTAACTTAGTACGAATGCATGCTTTCTCTTACAATCCACACCTACTACTTTTCCCCCTCCCCCCTTCATAAAGTTTGAAGAACGGAGGAAGAAACAGTTTGTATAATGATCATAAACCTTACTCGAGGTACTTTTGACACAAAATAATGCCAGGCTGAGCAAAGGGCGCGTGAAGAAAGTGAGAAGTTAAGACAACAAGAGCGTGAGCAGCGTGATGAAAAGCTGAAAAGAGATTTGGTGTGTCTCAGTTTTAACATTTCCAGCAATTCTTGCAATCAACTTTTGTGGTAAATTCTTAGATGAGAAACATAACTTGCACCTGTTTTCTTTATTTGTCACTGTGAAGACTCTTCGAGCACGTCTTGCTGCTAAAGCTGAGGAAAAGAGGTTGGAATTGCTATTTCTTCGGTGGAGTGAGCACCACAAAAAACTAGCCAATTTTATAAGGTATGTTGCGTCGGCTACATCAAATCTCATATGTAGATGCATCCAGCAATGAAGCTTGTCGAGGCCGTGCCTGAGAAAGCAGGTGTATGGGATGCATTCCCTTTTTATGCGAACCCCTTAAATTTTTGAGATCACCATGGAGTTAAAACTTTATTAGAAATATTTTAAGGGTGGCCTCCTCTCTTATTCGGCTGTGTCCTCATCTGCACTATTTTAGATGCTGTGACACAGTGAATTTTTCGTGTTAATTCTTGCGTTTTCATTTTGCAGGTTATTTCTTATTTTGGTCCAAAATGTCCATATTCACAATTTTATTGACGCGAAGATAAGTTTCTGTTCATGTACAGAATGTTGAAGCTGCTAAATGACTGAAAAAATCGTACTTGCAGCTGTGTAGGGTGATCAATTATCTATCCTGGTAACAGTTCATAACTTCTCTTTATATCTTTTTGGCTTGATGTTTTCAGGACCAAAGCCGAGCCTCCGATCTTTTATTCTTTTGCCAAACCATTGGAAGAAGATCCAAACTTAGTTGAGCAGAAAAAAGATCAGGTAAATATCACCCTGCACATTGTCGGTTGCATTATAGAACATTCACTTGTGAAATTGTATGCAGCAAAATCTTCTAATGCAAAAGTTGCACACATCAAATGCCCTTGTTGAGGTGGCAGACAATTATGTTTGTGTGAATACAGGAATATAGTGACCTTGAAGCTTTAGTGTGAATTCCTCTGGGAATGCACCAGTGTTTGTTGGGAATTTTCCCTTCTTCCCAACCCTCATCATGATTTTCATAGGTGAAACATTCAAAAGTATCTTCTCACCCCCCATAAATGCCACATCACGAACTTTCTTGTCTGCATAACTCTTCAGCCTATTCTGAGTTGTTCGAAGTAGTTCTTGAATCAACTTTATCTTCTTTGGGGGGGGGGGGGATACTGTGCAGTTCTTGATCTGAGCATGCAAGACTACACTATTGGAAATTACATCAAAATTACCTCAAGACTGATTAATTATTGGACATATATGAGGAAATATTATCATGTTCACAGATCATTTAACCCATTTTTTCCTTTTCAGATATTCCAAGAATGGAAAGCTGCAAGGAGAGAGGATTTGTCGCTATACCAGAAACAAATTGCTGAACAATATGTTGCAAATGCTGAAGGGGAGTGGAAAAATATTTTGGAAAGGAGAGCCAACAGAAATCCAGCAAACCTCCAAGAGACAATGGACAAGGAGCTAGAGAGTCATAGGCTTGAGAGTGGACCCAAGACTAGAAAGATCCCTGGTGTTAGCAACAATGAAGATGAGGATGTTGAGGATATCAATGTTGCGGAGGACGATATGATGGATGATGTGCTTGACCTGGATGATAATAACCAGAGGAGTGATGAAATTGTAAAAGTTGAAGCAGGTAACGGTAGTACACAGATTGATAACAATGATCAGCCGAAGATATGAATCTCTTATCTCTTTAAAGGTTTAGTTTGTGTTTGGTTTTATTTCCCTTTTGTTTGGCTTTTATGGTAGTTAGTATATGTGTTGCGTGTCATTCTGATTTCGGTTTTGAGGAATTGCCCTTATTTATATTAAAACTTCCAATTTTGTTGTACTAGCTCAGTGTCTGATTAGTACATTTATGGCTAAGAAAAAGAAAACTGAGCTGCTTTTCTGTGACACCTATATTTGAATGTTTTATTTGTGCTCTATGTCAAGATTAATTGTCAAGGGTTGTTGAGATTCAGCATGGAGTTGTTTGCCGGATGCATGTAATTTGTTAGCTCTCACTATCTACAAAGTCCAAGCGTGGAATGTGACAGCCGACAGAAAACGTTGCAAACTTGCAATACATATATACGATGAGTACTCACACATTAACGAATTTTTTTTTTTAAAAAAAAGAACAAAGATCATGCTTTACCTTTTTCAATTTAGTTACCAAATGTACCCCCAAAAGTGGATATTCAATTGAAATTAAAATTTTATAAAATTTGCTGTCAAGTCGATAGAGCTCCAGAATTTAGAAACAGTATCATAAAGTGTGACACATTTCCATCCAGTAGGCCATTTCCTCCAGAGTTTTAGAAGAAAATATCTGGCTGGTTCAGTTTTTGCACATCAGTGATTTCTACAATTTCCATTTTTCTGTACTTTCGCCAATTTGCTTTGAGTGAGGAAATTAAAATTTAACAATGTCCTACCTACATAACCCTTCCATTTGAAGCTACAGTAACAACGAGCGCCACCTATCTCATTTTATCTGACGCCATTTTCATTTTAACCTGTTGAATACATCGACATTGTTTTATATTTAAAACTTTTCCTTTAATCCTTAATAACTTGCTCTTGAAGCCTGCAAGCTGAAGTTTACTCCGATATCTCATTAAAATTTCTGCTAGTAGAATCTTGTAGGGGAAATTATCGATGTCAATTGTATATTAGCCTCCTCACCGGCTGACAGAAAAGAAACACTAATGTTGTTTTCGTCTAGCCTGATCCTACGAGAATTTAATAATCAAAGGTAAAGCCAGTGGTTAAGGATGAGATTTTATCAGCAATAGTCTAATAAATTGCTTCACCCTTCTAAGACCTTACCAAGGGACACATGCTTCTACATCTTGTAAGCATAGAGCTATTTATGTTATCAACACTCCTTGTTTACGCATCAACTCCATCAATATTCGATAAAATTCACTATCCCAAAAAGAGGATCACAGACTTTGTACAATAAAATTTGTAAAGCAAACTATCTTGATATTGGGTCAAATGTATCAGGGAAGCGAGTAAACCATTGCAAAACCATAGACTAGGAGTGCTACTAAAGATGGTAAATGCTTACCCGCACCGGGCATTTACACCTAAATATTTATATTTGACTAAATATTAGTAACAACTAAGAAACATAAGATAATTAAAGAGAGAACTGTAATTGTTATAAGAGGCTTAATATCACCGGCTTGCAACAGACCCAGGTAAACCGGCTTTATGCATATCCGCTACAGCCCCCGCAGTTTCTGCAAGAGCATTCTTCATCGTGGCAATTTTTGATGTAACAAACTCTTTATATTTTGAAACTGTATCAACAACAGCAAAGAGTTCAAGAGCACAAGTCTGCACCTCTTCCTCAGTTTGTGCAATTATTTCCTGCAATTTGGCATTTGATGCCTTTGAAAATAAAGATAAGCCAATCAGAATCAAGATTATACATCTAAGGTAAGAAAACTCCACAAGTTCACATCTGTCGGAGGACATTTGTAAGTGATGCATAGCAATATAAATCTTGTTTGAATTGCAAATAGCCTTACTTTCAGAAAATCCGCTGCCTCTCTTTCAACCAGATCCGACTTTCGAGTCTCTGTTTCAACTTCCTCAGCCATCCTTCTGGCTTCTGCTGCACACCTAGATATGTAGTCCTGCTTTTCCTTCTTTAATAAGTCCAATTGCGCTTCCAGCTGACACATCAATCATAAAATGATTTGGAAATAGTCATGTTAGGCTTCAAGTGCTGTTAAAAGGCCATAACTATAGCAATGATGGAAACCTTCTAAATTACTAGCCTTGTGTTTATTTGAAAACAAAATCTATTGGTGTCTGAACCTGACAAGTTTATGTGAATGGATACAACAACAAAAAACCAGTACAATCCCACAAGTGGGGTCTGGAGAGGGTAGTGTGTATGCATACCTTACCCCTACCTTACAAAGATAGAGAGATTGTTTCATGTGAATGAATCTATAAACTAAAACAAGGTAGGCCTCAAAAGGCATTGTTGCACATAAGGGTGGCAAACAGCCCGGGCTCGGGCCTAAACTGGCCTCACGGACCGGTGCTATGTGGGCTCGGGCTTCGTGGGCCGGGCTTAAACGGTCCCGGGCTTCGTGGGCTTTTGGGTGTAACCAGACCGGGACCATGAACTAATGGTCCCAGGCTATGTGGGTCGGGCCCGATCCTAAACGGGCCTTGAATATTTTTAAAAAAAAATTATCTAAGGCAATTTCTTGTAAATTATATAGCTTATATATATTATATATACTATATCTATATCTATTAATATATATATACTTTATACATTGCTTATATATATATATGTGGGCCTATTTATTTGTTTAAATTTTTTATCTAAGGCATTTTCTTGTAAATTATATAGCTTTTATATATATATATATATAGGGGCCTGAGTGGGCCTGACTTTTTCTTCAATTTTTTTTTATCTAAGGCAATTTCTTGTAAATTATATAGCTTATATATATATA